ATCCATGGGTGTAGGGATGAGGTGAAATACTTACCTTATTCCTTGTTCCAACAGGCTTCCTTCTCTTCAGTCATGTATTGTATGTGAGCATACTGAAGGCCGCCAACATTGGATATCGATGGAGAGCCCTGACTGCTGGGAAAATAAGGAATCTGATACATAATTCATCTCATTCCTCATCCCCTAGATAAACTGAGCATTTTACCCTTGCAGTGGAGAAGGGGACCCACTGCAAGGGTTACTTTTTCTACAACCCGGACTTCAGCTTTAGACATGGTTGGATTAAACTTATCCTTAGTCTCTGATGTTTCTATGCCTCAGATACTTCCTTTTCTACTTTAAGGAGGAGTGGAAACCTAACATCTTGGATCTGGTTGAAATGAGAAGCACTGGAACTTAGCTCTCCTCTAACTGTTATACAAGTCCATTGTCTTCACACAATAGTATTAGCATTATTGTCTGTCTAGGTCCTACTGGCTGACCCACTCTTTGAAGGAGCCAGGTCCCCTCGGTACTCATGATGCCAGTGGCTAGGTAAACTCTTCACCCGTATCACAGTGAACTTACCGATTTTTGCTTCTGTTTAGCTACAAGCAGCATGAAAGAGAAACAAAGAACAACAAAGGCATGCATGTTATTGACAAGTCGAGAGACGGACATTTAACAGGACTTGCAATGTGTAACAAAGAGCAGCAGTACAGATGGCGAGCGTCACACCGGAGCTGGTTACCTTCTTAAAAAAAGGCATTCTTTTCTCTTTGGAGAGGGGTGATGTTACACTGTTTACACTGGGTTTAGGGGAGCGGTGGTTGGCTGGGATATCAATCTCTTCTGCCTCTAAGCCAGTGGCATCTAAGTCTATAGCTATATACAGACAAATCATATACAATTATTAGGCAGAGAAACAGAGGGCATTGGATAACAGTAATACATTTTTACCTGAAAAGGAAATATCAGAGACAAGTTAACTTAAAGGGGTTTTCCAATTTCCAGATGCAGCATGTCCCTTACCAGCCATGCAGATAAATGCCCTATTTTGGCTCCCACATTCTACCTGGTCATCCTCCTTGAGCCTTCTGATGCTCCATAGCCTTAGAAATTGGGAGTTTGTTACTCTCATAGGCTCATGTCTCACGTTCTACTTTTGCTCCCGATTATTAATAATCTCCTCTTTCCACTTGGGATCGACAATTTCAGGTCAATCTCCTGTTGGACTACCAATCTTTTTTCCCATATGCACCATTTCCACACCTGCCATCACTTGCCAGAGTGGTCGGCTTTGCGGGAACATCATGCAGCATATAGATGTCTTCAAATATTGGAGCATCACACTTACTTCCTGAACACACTGACTTCTTGAACACATAATTGGTTTTTAAACATGTTTGCTTGCAAATCCCTTTTTTTACTCCACGTTGAACATTCATTCATCTACTTCTCCTCTCTCCTACATTGTTAATTAGGAATAAAACTTGAATGCCTCTGTTGCCTCGGAGGACTTAGGGAAGATCTGGTCGACAATAGCTAAATGCCCCTTTAACATGACTACCTCGCAATCTGCTTATCAGGTACTCTTGTAGTGGTATTGAGTCCCCATGTGCATTACAAAATCGGTTCTGTCCTATAATAAAAGGGGCTTCAGGGTTTGCGGCCAGGGGGGTTGATGTTCTGCACACCTGATGGTCTTGCCTGAGATTAATCGCCTTTTGGTCTAGAATATTTGGCCTCCTTTAAACTCTATTTTATGTTACTGTTTAAAGAGACCCAAGGTTAGCTTTCCTACACCACAACATTCCTTACCTTATCACCTCTCAACAGAAATTGGCTACCTACTGTATCTTTTCCTAGCTGCCAAACAAACCATAGCTCAAGCTTGGAAAAATTCTAAGGTCAACCTACAGGAGGTAAAGGAGCACATGAATGCGATGCTTGTTAATGAGAAGATGTCCAGTATTCTCCAGGATTCCCAGTCTAAATTCCACAACATTTGGGACCCCTGTCTAACTTATTCCCCCCATCACCACTTCTCCTCTCTTTTAGTTCTACTTTACACCTTCTTTACCCTGTTCTCTTGCCAATGACCAGTGTAGTCATCCAAGTTGAACTATCACATAGTATGAGGGAAACCAGTAACTTTGCATTTTGGTCCTAGGCACAAGGCTGCTTCTTTTTACCACTAATATCATTAATATTGCTTCTGTATGCTTTGTTGTATACATTAAAACACTTGCCCCTGCATTGGCTAAACAGCTGTCATGATTTAGAACAATAAAAATAATTGAAACTGAAAAATACCAGCCATACATGGAGCTATTAAAGCAAATACTTACCTAACACTCGGCCTGCACCGTGGACCGGCACTCTATTTAAGAGACCTCGCCGCCTGAATTTTTCAGTGGCTCAGTGGCTCTTCCTGCCACCTTCTACATCACTACAGGATACAGTAAATAATTATACTGTGCATATTTCTCCTATCACTATCTCCTTACACCAAAAATTGTGATTTCTGGTTATTGTTATAGTGGAGGCCCCTCCCCTAGTTATTGGCTGTATACAGGTATGATTCCTAGTGGAAAAGCAAAAAGCAGGAAAGGGGGGTTCCTTTCATGTTAGGAAATCATTTTCTAAAATCTGGCTACAACAAGACAGCTGTTCCCTGGATATTCAAAGTACTCCATATTACACAGCCCAAAATCATGCAATAGAGATTGTATAAGACAAACAAACAATTCATTATAGATCTGTGTTTTTCTAGAGTAGACAACGCTGGTCAAATCTGGAAGACCCCTTTAAGTTAAATTCATTCACGTTTTATGAAAATTAGAAAAAAACTTGGAGCTTTTGGCTACAGAAACCAATTAGATTTATTTGGTTGTTTTATGTGAAAATAAAAAAGCAATCGGATTGGCTGCTGGCATATCAGCTCTGCTTTATCTCCAGTTTTATTTCCAGTTTCCATATATCAACCTCTACATCATACCCACAAAAAGTGATCAAAATATACCAGCCACAGACAAAATAATACACACCTTTTTGCAGCCCTGAAAATAAAAGGTATATGTTTTATTATGACGCTATACCAGATGAAGATACACACCTGACTTCCAAAATCAGGCTTTTGAAAGGAAGGTATTACAAAGGTATAAAGTCTGATAGATGTTTATCAACCTAGGAAAAAAACAGGATCAGTATTCTGGAATGCATGACATTTCCAAAAAGCTGTTACTGTTTTTTGCACTCTATGCATTATGCACTCTATGCAAGTATATTGTGATTAAAAACGGCATCAAACTGTTTGCATCCCCGCAACGTTGTCTGGCATTCTTATTTTCATTATAGCTCAACCCTAGCCAGTAGCCATAAACTTTTTTAGTTGTCTTGGATAGCCCAAGCAAGAGTTAGGGCTATTGACAGAGTTTTTTTTGTGACTCCTAATGGGTCACATTTTCCTAATTTGAAATCAGGATAGAAAGAGACCAGAGATTTCTCCAATGGGGACAGAGACAAAAAACAAAACCACATTTTAGTAGAGCAAGGTGAAGATGAGATGGTTAGAAATTCTGAGGATGTTTTCATGCTGTCTGTGCCTTCCTGTCCTGGTGATAACCATTCACAGAGACAGAAGTAAGGGGAAAATCTACCAGTGAAAAAAAAAATCCATAAATGCACACTTCTTCATAAAAGAAAAAAATGCGCATTTACTATTTTTTGCATCTGAGCTAGTACAGCATTGCAACCGCAATCAAAGAATGGTGGGTACAATACTCTGGCTCCTGCAGACTCTTTCTCCCTTTCATGTCTGTGCTAAGGCATGGACATTCAGTAATGGACAGAAGGAAGTAACAATGGTCTACAGCATGCTTGTAACCGCGCTTGTATTCCATTGAGAACCAGTAATTCTGCCACGGTGGTCTGTTCTGTCAAAGAATCTGTGAATGAAGGATGTGGCTGGAGTCACAGACAGAAATACAAACCTGATACAAATCTATCCCAGAACTAAAATGTAAAAAAAAAACAATAGCTAATGGAACATCATGGAGCAAGTTTTCTAGAGGAACCTCATCGAAGAGGTCACCAGAGGAAAAGTGTCAGGAGGAGCATCATATAAGGAGACTGCTAAAGGATTATCTTGGAAGGAGATTGGTAGATAATCAATATGTGATTACCAGAGAAGAGTGGTAAAGGAGACTGCTAGAGAAATCTTGTATAACTGGTAGGCTGAGTTCACATGTGTGGCCGTAAAGGGCAGTTAAAACAGGCCATTGATCTGATTTTGGACTGTTTCCTGGCTACTTGCTGTCAAGATAGCATTGCAGCAGGACAGTACTGTACACATTGCTGTGACCACAATACTTTGCTTTCAGCTAGTTCTACCTGCCAAATGCAACCATTGTGGTAAATCCCACCTTGGGATCCAAAATAGAAAAAAAAGGCCTTCAGGAGGCAGCTGTATGGCCTCCTGAATGCCTTGAAGCTGCTGCTCTATCTCCCTCGGCGAATCTTTACAAATCGCTTTTCAGAGGGACAGTAAAGACCACCACTCGTACAAACAAGCCCTTAGAGCACCCTCAAGGGAGGGGACAGCTAGAGGAATAATAGGAACATTATGACAGTAGGAATTACATTGGAAGAGACTAACAGACCACACAGGCAAGCACATGGGATCTTGGAAATTAGCATTTCTTACCAGATGATGGTGGAGTTGATCTTCTAGAGCTAGGTACCACATCACCCAAACTGGAAGAGGAATTTCCCCCGGTTTTACTAATAAGAAGAAAAGCATTACACCATTTACTATTGTAAAAATGCATTGTCTATAGCTTTAACAAAATATTCAACCAAGAATGATATACTTCGTTTCACGAGCAGAAACAGGTTGTAGGTAAAACTATGCTAAACCATGCAGGTAACCTCTTAGATTTAGTGTTGTTAATAGTTATAATTGGGACACCTCTGACACCCAGGAGGCTTGGGTAATGAAATTGGACAATTAATTAAGATTTTTACAGCACTGGATTGCGGCAGTGGGTGTACACAAAGTACAATTTTAACAATAGCAAGCTATCTTCATGTTCTACCTAAAATATACCAGCTTGTATAAAGACATTCCTTAAACAGAGTTTGTTGGTTCCAATGAAGTGCTGAAACAAAGTTTGTTATTGTTTATTTTATTAAAATAGTAAAAACCCAACTCTCCTCTTTCCTCTTCCCCCACCTCTGCGATACCTCTTCATTGGAGCACTCCTTAGCCCCCTTATTTTTTTAAATCTTTTACATCTTGTAAATGTTTTACTGTGATATCTCCAGTTCTCCTCATAGTGAGCATACCCTGCACAGAATGCTACAGCATGGTTCTGTGAGCCAAAGGCAGATTATTGAAGGACCCACATGGGGTGTGTGCTTGACATCCTGGGCTCACAGGATTTGGGTGGAATGGCACTGGGTGTCACTCAACCCAACAAATAACCAGCACTAAGGTCTCGTTCACACCTAGGCGTATTGCATATGCGCGTCTGTCGCGCGACGTCGCGCGTTTTTTACCGCAATTCGCGGTAAAAAAGTCGCGCGACCGTCGCGCGTTTTTCCGAAGGCTACTTGGCTGTATCCCAATGGAAACGCGCAACAAAACGGCCCAAAGTAGTACCTGTACCTTTTTAGGCGTGGGCCGTTTTGTAGCAAGTTAGGGACGGGCGGAAATACGCCAAGGTGGGAACGAGACCATTGAATACAATGGGATTTATATTTTTGAGCATTTTGTAGAGCGTTTTGTAGAGCGTTCATCGAGCGTAGAACGCGCTACAAAACGTTCAGGTGTGAACGAGGGCTAAATTGCAAATTGGTGAGTTTGCCGGGAACCGGGACTAAAGAGGAGGTAAGAAGTGCAGTCACAGCTGCTTTTTTCACCAGGAAATGTAAGTTTACGTTTACCAAAAAATTGAGTTTGGTATTAATCGGCCATCCTAAATTAGACAAAAATGCTAAAAAATAACAATAGAATGTATTTTTTATAACAATAAGTGTAGCCTATGTAAAACAGTTTATTGTTTAGCAATGATAACATGTTAAAATAAATAAATAAATAAATACAACTAATAAGCAGGTTTTTTTTGTGATGGGAGAGCAGCTAGTCAGCATTCAGTACCCAGAACTCTTCAATACTTGGAGTCTGTCACACCTTCCACTACAACCTGATGATGTCAGCATGGCATAGCACAGGAAAGAATTACAATATTACAGCCCATAACAGCGCAATTAAAATGTGTGGAAAACCTAAAAATGCTGTTTTAGTTTGGTATAAATTACACTGGAGTCAAGTAACATGGCCACTTTAGAAATAAGTAGTTCTTGGTTGAGTTCTTTTAATAAAAGGAAGGCACATATTTGCAAAAACTGTTGCTTTGTAGTCCTTTGCTAGAATATGAATGAAGCTGTTTGGCATCTAAACGTTACAGACTTGCCAAATTCCGGAATACCAAAGGATCCAAAAATAATCTCATCTTAATAGGGGTCCCTGAACTTCCCTTGTAAATTCATTAAATTTCTGCATGGGAAAAACAGATTGCTGTAACAATATTATAATTACAATATCCACAAATGTTTAAACTAATTATGTTTAGTTATGCCATCCTGGCAAGGATAATTTAAGACCCTCTTCAACCTTCCTTCTAGTTTGATACCATACAGCAGGATAACGAAATCCAAAACTTGATTACAATCATTAACAATATCCTAGCACTACATTTCCCACACATCCAGTATCAAAATACTAGATTTAAAACAGAGATCCACCAAGAGTGTCCTTGTCCTAACTCCAGTAATATAGTTAAAAGGGACCTTCAGAGGTATTGCATTATGCAAATTTCTGTCAGTTCCTGGTAAACAGTGGGTGCTGCTGTCTGCACCCTTTCGGCCAGCATCCCTTGATCAGCTGATCGAAGGAGCTGGTTGGAAAATCTCCAAACTAACAGAGCTGACAGCTGTCAGAATACAAAGGAAAGAGAGGGGGATTCCTTAATCAACACTTGTTAGTGTTGTTGGAGGAATCTGGTATACTTTTGAACGTGGGTTGAACGAAAAAAATAGAAAGGTGTATGGCCAGCTTTAAGAAACAATGTCTCCCCAAAATGAATCTTGTGACTACCATAGATCTTTCATATAGTATTCCCTATTGTTTCTTTCACAGTATGTCGATCCATAAAGTTTAAATGGCCCCACGTTGGTCAGTTTCTGGTACCTGCCCTCTATGGGCAACTTAAAGAGGAATTCCAGCCTAAATATTTTTCTAGTTCTGGACTGAGCAAGAATGCAGCGCGACACTGTTCTCATGTATATTTTGCTCTCCTTTTGGCCCTATACTGTATTTATTGCTGACCTTCTTTGAGCTCACGCATTTCTAGAAGCTCATTTTAACATTGATAGGAGTCAGTGCTCTATGCCCCACAGGCACGGCAAACTACAAAGTGGCTTTACCTTGTGTAGAATTTTCCCTGCTTTGCTTTATGTTCATGCTGTATCCTCATGTTCTCAAGCTTCACAGGACTTGGAATAAATCCTATTTCACAGCCTTCTTTCACCAGCCGGCCTATCCACCAGTCATTGTTAAATTTCTACAAAGAGAAGAAAAATACGGTAAAGATTTGCTCTTAAGCTCATCTATTAGAAAACCAACCTTAACATGTCAATAGAAGTCAGACGAGTGTCAATGCTTCGCATTTCCAGTCTTCAAGAACTCCCAATATGTCATGTTAAAAGCCTCAGTCACACTTGTGCAATTCTCAGCCTAATGACGTATCTCCAAACCACATGAAGACCAGAGATTGAAGGAAATCACTTTCTTTACAAACTTTAATTGACATCACTGCCCTCAAGCATATTATTTTTTTTATAGGTCCTGCTACACAGTTTTCAACATTAGTATACATCTCCTGGTCTACTGGAAAACAGGCATTGGGCAAAAATGCATAAGATAAAATGTAAAAAGTATTGCCTTAATTTTCGTTATGTTTTTATTGTTAATATGAAAAACTTAATAAAGTTTATTGTAAAAAAAAATCATATTTCTATTTTAGGAATAATGTACTCTCATTCTTGTCTTTTTGCAATAGCTGTATTGCTGTGCCGTCTGATCTCTGTATTATTTCTATTGACATTATACTTATCTAAGCATGTACAGTATATTGCCTTAATTTTCTTTATGTTTTTATTGAAAATAAGAAATTCTTGATAAAACTTATTGTTAAAAAAAAGAAAATGTAAAAAGTAAACGTGCATTGACATTCATTAGAGTCACGAGTTAGCCACAAATATGAGTGCACCTGCCGCCTCACCTCTTTGACGTGTAAAAAATCTTTAGCCTCGAAGGAAACGGCCATTCCTGGGACTGGGACCTCATCGTCGTGAGCTGCACTGTAGCCAACATTTGTCCGTACAGCGAATGCAACAGGTTTGGTCTGAAGAGAGACACAAAGAAAACATATTTAAAATAATCACATTGTTCTGTTGCAAAAATAATTGTAGATTTAATGTGGAGCTGTGTCTTCGTACCAAAGGTTTTTAACCTTTCCCTACTCCGTCCAACACTAAAAACAGAACTCCAGGCATTAGAGTAATAGTCCAAGTAGTCCCCTCCTCTACCCCTGCACAATGTACACTCTTTATTTATCTTAAATCTAATCTAGGAGCCATCAGGATTTTCTGGGAGCCAGCTCCACTGACAACAACTAGGGCACAACAATAATTAATTTTTGTCAAGTAAATAATATTGCACATAAATATTGCACAATTAGAACTTCCAGCCAGCAGGTAAAGCTCTAGACTTATGTTAATAAAATTCATTTCAGTACAGCGCTGCATGACGGAATAAATGTCAGTCAAAGTACCGCAGCGCTGAATACTGAAAAATGGCCTGGATGGGAAGGGGGTTTAACACCGCGGATGTCAACTGGTTAAATGCCTGCCGGAGATATCTAACGCACCCACTGGACCTACTGTTTGTGCCCTATGCAGAACTTTGAAGTAGAACTGAAGCAAAAACTCTATGTAAGGGAGGGTTATAACCCCCTGTCAGCTTTTTTTTTTTCTTTCCTGTTCGATAGCCACAATAACAAGTGAAAGGAAATTCCGCCAAAGAGAGGTTAATCCCTGTTGGTCAGCAGGGTCACCAAAACTAGTGTCCCCATTGGAAGATTTCCCATCTATTCCTGCCGACAACCAAAAATCTAGGATTTGCTCTCACTTTTAGTGATAATGGACACCGGGACAAACAGAGAGGGTGAATCTCCCTAACGGGGACACAAACAGCTATAAAAACGTGACAGGCGTTCTGATCCCTCTCCACTTCATCCGAAACTACAAAAAAAAACGTTTTGGCTTCTGCTGCATTTTACAGGCATTAGGATCAATTCACAAAATTGTAACTTAAAGATAAGTATCATTATTTTAGCCACGTGACTAATTGTCAAACCTCATTGGAATCAGCTGCTACTTTTTTGAAAATAACTTTTCTTATCTTGATACATAATCTTTGTAATTTGAGCCTTATGTATCAGATTTGTTTTTCAGCAGTCACTTATATAAACGGTTTCATTAATCATTTTAACTGTTTTGTTTTTAAAGTAAGGCTGCATATAATTATGAGTGTAGAGAGAAATAATAGGATGCAGTGAACCAATTGTTGAAAAATCACACTTGACATGAATCATTAGCGCACATATCATCATTACCATAATACATTGTTATTCCAAGTTAAAAACTAAGGATCCTTTTCGTGCCATGAACTAACTAAATCATGAGCACGTGTGACTGAGGAGCTGGATTCAACTCATCAATGGCTCATAATTTGAGCTGGTCAGACAGAGTCACAAAGGGCACAATGACTTTGGTGGGGCCACTCTAAAAACACAAACAGAGTACCCCGATATGGGTATGGAGTCCAAAGTTTGTCCAATGACAGTGCCAAACCAATGAACTGAGAGCCCAAAAGCTTTCAATAATGGCATTTGTTCCACAAGACAATATAACACGGCCATTGCATTTCAGGCACTCATCTAAATACAAGAAGCATGTCTATTCTTGAATCTTTGTAGCTACTGAGGTATATATTCAAATTAATTTTTTTGCGGTGAGTTCAGCTTTACAACCTCTTTGTTTTGCTATATTGGACAAGGCTGTAGGTGTTATGTTATAATTAGTTTCATTGCATGCCTAGAAGAAGAAGTTGGCATAGCGCCATTTTATAATGGTTTCCTAGACTTTATCTAAACCCTTAACTGATTGACATTTACAGGGTTATTCACAAAAGGGTCAAGAGTTTGGACAAGGCAGAAGAAGTGAACAATCTAGGAAAGGGATCCTCAAACTTTTTAAACAGGGGGCCAGTTCACTATCCCTCAGACATTGTTGGGGGCCGGATCATAGTTTGAAAAACAGGGGGGGAGGGGGGTGCGCGTGGCTGCGGTGCCATTGACTTCAACGCACCTAAAGTTCCGGGATGGGGGTAACTATTGGAGCATTTGGACGAGTACGAGTACTTGCCCAAATACTCGGTATTCGCACCTTAACCAATACTAGTATTAGTCATCAGGCATCTATAGTGCAAATCCATTTAATTGATAGTTGTAATTCAAACGACAAGCACATTTCTGAGCCTGATGAAGGGGACCCTGCGAGGCCCCAAACCCGCTTGTCATTGACAATGACAACTATCAATAAAATGGATGTTGCACTAACAAGGAATCTGGACATTTGTTTTGAAATATATGTACTATTGCACATAAAAGATGCCCCCACAAAACATGTCACAGGTTGCCTTTTTTTATGGGGGCATGTTTTGTGTACAATAGTACCCCGCTCGCTTTTCGAATGATATTTATTTTGATAATTTTTTTTAAATACCTGTTTAGAAGGTGAGGACAGTCAGTCTGCCGGAGAATGATTTCTCCCTCGCTGCCTCTCTCTGATGTAACTTCCTCTCACTAACAGGAGAGAAACAGAGAGAGGGAGGGAGTGAAGACAGCGCCACCCAGCACTCGCCACTCACTGCCCATCTTTCGCCACCCATCACTCGCCACCAGGAGCGGGCCGTGTTAAGGTCCCAGGCAGGCCGGATATGACCCACGGGCCGTAGTTTAGTTTTGTTACATGCATACAGATCACTTTTTACTCAGTATATTCATGCCATCCAGGTCCTGCATACTAGTTGCATATTTTCATTAGGACGTGTGCATGAGTCCTTGATGCCTGCTTCTTGGGGGACAAAGCTAGTCCCCACACCTGAACCTTTTGAAGGACAGTGGTTTAATAATCTGGCACAAGGGCTCTCGACATATGACATCTAACAGACTGAGTACAATGTGAACATAAGTCTCAGGGGTGTGGAAATTAAAGTGGGACTAAAGCGGGGGCCGAATCTACTTGTTTCTCATGACAATCTACTTGTCCTGATACAAAAAAAATTATTTTAACCAAAACCATATTTAGCAGTGCTAAGAAGCGCTTCTCATTGGTCAGTGCCGTCAAGTGACCGTCCCCGCCCCCCTCTCTCACCGCTCCGTCCCCGCCCCCCACTCTCGCCACTCAGTTAGGAAAAGAAAACCAGCCCTGCTACTTGTCCGTTGCAGGGCTAAAACAGTGGGAAAAAAACTTGCCCGGCGCCCGGAACTACATGTCCCGTGCGTCGGGCGATACGAATTACACACCCCTGATTAAGTGCATGGATATGGGAATTCTACTTTAAGATCTGGATTGGACATTGAATACTTCATGCTAATATAGAGACACCCACAGGGTATAAACTCACCTAATGGATGCCAGATAACTATCGTCTGGGTTGTATGCCCCTACAGTCCCTGGGTGAATGGGCCTGCATTAGACGTGATAACATCATGGATACTTAGACCGCCGGAGCTTGGAGGAGAAGAGGCAGTGTAGACCGGTCTAGCAGCCAGGCAGGATCGATAATCAGGTAAAAATGAGCTGTTAAAGAAGAACTCTGGGCATAAATCTGGGGCTACCCCCGCACTGCAAGGCTAAAACTCACTAGCTTTTGTCCCGGAGACACCACAACCTTTTCAGGCTCCACCCTCTTTCTTCGGGCGCTTAGATGTCTTGGTCTCCGGAATGATGAGCAGGTTCTGCCTCATTTTCCATCAGGTTATAATAGTCTTTCTATGTATCTATACTTCAGGTTCATATAGTCTATTGTTGTCTTTTTAAATCTCCCCAAGTATAAGTGATACTCCAACCTGGCGGATCGCCGCCTAGATGGTTTGACAGTTTATTATTAGTGATGGGCCAAACAGGCCCGTGTTCGGTTTGTATTCGAACATTCGAACGTCCGAAAAGTTCAAACTCGAAATCAATGCATGTCAATGGGGGTAGAATGTTCAGAAATGATTGTCCCCTTTAAGAGGGCCTATATGCAAGTTATACAACTCTGATATAGAACGCTGTATACAACTCTGATATAGAACGCAGTATAGAACTCTGATATAGAACGCAGTATAGAACTCTGATATAGAACTCTGATATAGAACTCTGATATAGAACGCTGTATACAACTCTGATATAGAACGCTGTATACAACTCTGATATAGAACGCTGTATAAAACTCTGATATAGAACGCTGTATACAACTCTGATATAGAACGCTGTATACAACTCTGATATAGAACGCTGTATAAAACTCTGATATAGAACGCTGTATACAACTCTGATATAGAACGCTGTGTGCAACTCTGATATAGAACGCTGTATACAACTCTGATATAGAACTCTGATATAGAACTCTGATATAGAATGCTGTATAAAACTCTGATATAGAACGCTGTATACAACTCTGATATAGAACGCTGTATACAACTCTGATATAGAACTCTGATATAGAACTCTGATATAGAACGCTGTATACAACTCTGATATAGAACTCTGATATAGAACGCTGTATACAACTCTGATATAGAACACTGTATACAACTCTGATATAGAACGCTGTATACAACATACAGCCCATCCCTTATTATTATTAGATACGAATAAAATCATATTCCAGCTCCATTCACACATAGTGGTACGGTTTTCGGCTCAACTTTTCACGAGGTAAACCATTAACATATGCACGGATTCCGCACGTTTGCGTCTACTACTATGCACTTGCAATCTGCCCATAAAATCGCACTTGGACTATTTTTGTACCGCGCAGCCGCCGCAATAATTTCAACAATGCACATTGCAATGCATTGTTTTTTATGTTTAGCGCAGTTCCCGAATACACGCCGAAAACCGCTCATGTGTGAATGGAGCCTTCCTGGCATTTGTTCTGCATAACTTCTTTGTTGATGTCCTAATGTAGTCCAACTACTTTTTCTTTGTGGTCGCTACAATTGTACCTTCGTTGTCTTGGTCTGTATGCCTTGTTCACCTCGGCCTATGGAAAGTTACATTTCCCTATTGT